CCCGAGGCCAGGATGGCGGAGGCGACGGTGGTGCTTCCTGGATGCGGAGTTTGGGGAAGATGGAAAGTTCTGAGGCTGGGTGGTGGGGACGGCTGCACAGTACGGAGACTGCACCTGAACCACTGCACCACACGCTTATAAACGGTTAGGGACACCCGGGTGGCTCAGTGGGTTGAGCGACTGACTTCAGCTCAGGTCGTGATCTCGCGGTCTGTGAGTTCAAGCCCCGCGCCGGGCTCTGTGCTGACCGCTCAGAGCCTGGAGCCTGCTTCCGATTCTGTGTCTCCCCCTCTCTCTGCCCCTCCCCTGCTCATACTCTGTGTCTCTCTCTCACTCTCAATAATAAACGTTAAAAACAAACAAACAAACAAACAAACAGTTAAGACGACCAATTTCATGTTCCGGGTGGTTTTTTTTTTAATATTTATTTTTGAGAGAGAGAGAGAGAGCGTGAGCGAGAGCACAAGAGGGGGAGGGGCAGAGAGAGGGAGACACAGAATCCAAAACAGGTTCCAGGCCCTGAGCTGTCAGCAGAGCCCGACATGGGGCTCTAACCCACGAACCGAGAGACCATGACCTGAGCCAACCGAGCCCCCCCAGGGACCCCTAATTTTTTTTAAGTCATCTCTACACCCGACATGGGACCTGAATTCACGTGGAGCCTGCTTCAGATCCTGTGTCTCCCTTTTTCTCTGCCCCTCCCCCCTTCGTGCTGGCTCTCTCTCTCTCTCTTGCTCTCTCTCAAAAATAAACATTTAGGGGCGCCTGGGTGGCGCAGTCGGTTAAGCGTCCGACTTCAGCCAGGTCACGATCTCGCGAGATCTCGCGTGATCTCGCGTGAGTTCGAGCCCCGCGTCGGGCTCTGGGCTGATGGCTCAGAGCCTGGAGCCTGTTTCCGATTCTGTGTCTCCCTCTCTCTGCCCCTCCCCCGTTCATGCTCTGTCTCTCTCTGTCCCAAAAATAAATAAACGTTGAAAAAAAAAATAAAATAAAAAGATAAATAAACATTTAAAAAAATAAAAGAAAAAAGGTTGCATGTTCTACCAACTGAACCAGCCAGGCGCCCCTATGTTCTGTGTCTTTTACCAAAATAAGAAAATAAACATTTGAGTTCAGCGAAGGATGTCAGGAACCAGAACCTGAGGGCCAGGCGGGCCGGAGCCTGGGAGTGTGGGAAACGGCCCCGGCCTCTCCCACACCAGGCTGAGCAGAAGGGAAAGAATCTCTGAGAAGCTTATCTGCCCGAAGCAGGAAATCGGAGATGGAGAGCCAGAGGCGCGGCCGGCGGGGCACTGCCGGGCGGCCCGGCCCCGAGAGGGACCCACCGCGGCCCTCGAATTCAACACGCGCGATCTGCCCGGCAGAAGGTCCGGTCTGGGCTCCGCAGGCAGCCGGGTGGGAGACGGCGTCTCCAGCCACCCCGACGAGGCTCCCAGGTGCCGGGAGGTCTCGGCCCGCCGCAGGGAGCCAGCTCGCAGAGGCCCGGCTGCCGTCCCTCACTCGTCCGCCGAAGCTGGCACCAGGCGGGCGGGTGACGCCGGCCCAGGGGACGTGAGTGGGGGAAAGCCGGGCCCGCTGCCTCCAGTGGGCGGAGTGGCAGAGGGGGCTCGGGTCCCGGCCGGGCCGGCCACCCTCCCCTGGGAGCAGGGACCGGGGACGGGGCAAGAGGCCAGCAAGGGAACACAGGCAAACCGGCCTCGACAGCGGAACTCGGGCCAGCGCTCGCGATGCGCTCCGTCCAGAGGAGGACGCAGGCCTCAGAGAGGAAAGGCTTCCGTGGTGGTGGCGGCCGGGGCTTAGTTCTGGACTCCTGGCTCCACATCCGGGCCTTCTGGGACCCTCCGTGCGGCCATCGAGGCTGCCGGGCTGAGTGCCGTGAACGTGGCCTCACTGTGCCCGTGCACGCAGAGGAGGCGGCCTGGAGGAGGTGGCATTTCTTTTGGCCTTGAAGGCCGGCCAAGACTCGGGGAAGGGTGGAGGAGGTGCCCGTCAGCCCCAGGCTAAAGCAGAGAAGGAAGAACCGGCTGGAGGGACAGGGCCCCGCTCTGCCCAGGCAGCTCCCACCTCCCCAAGAGAGCAGCTCTGGCTGGCCTGTGACCTCATGGGGGAAATATGCCTTTTCCTGAGCCAGGAACAATAGGTTGGGGGTGGGGGGAAGAGAGCCCTGCCCGGCAGGAAAGGACTCCCTCCTGCCGGGCCCCCTCACCCTCGAGCCAGCGCATGCTTAACCCTTTACAGACCCACGCAGCCCCGCACAGCCCCGAAGTCCCACCCAGCAAGCGGTCCACCAGACGCTGGGCCTGTCGATGAGGGAAGTGGGGTCTCGGCCGGTGAGGTCAGGAAGGGGAGGGGAGGTTCGGGGCCGATCACACACTGCTCCGCTCACGCCACCCGGAGGCCCACACTGGGCCCACGCTGCAGATCAGGCTCCCGGGTCTTGGGCCTTGTCCCCTGGGGCTGGCCGATGGCAGGTGGCAGGAGACTGCCCAGACCTTCCCCACCCCTTCCCTCCTGAGGGAGCCGGAGCTCCGAGCCTCCGTCTCCCCATCTATAAAGCAGGGTGGACGAGACGTCTGCACGTGGAAGTGGGGGCGGGGGGACGGGCGGGCGCTTCACCTGCCGGCAGGGTCCTCAGTGACCCTGCAGGGGGTGTGGCCGGCACCACTGGCAGGGAGGAAACAAACATGGCCAGGTTGAGCAGTGAGCCACAGGCCGGCGACACAAGCAGAGCGGAGCAGGGTGGGAAGGCGGTGGCCGGCGTGGGCACGGGGACCAGGGCTCACGGGCGCCATGGCTGACACGGGGCAGGGGCTCTGACTTCCAGCCACAGCCCACACCAGTGTCACAAGCTGGAAGGACAGTGTCCCAGGGAGAGGCCGAGGGGCCTGGGCAGGGTGGACGAGCCACAGCCAGCACTGTCCCGGGCACCTACGACGGGCAGGATGGCTGCCTCTACTTTGCAGGTGAGGAAGCTGAGGGGCTCCCGGGGACCGGCGCTGACACCCTGCCACTTGGAAATGGTGCAGGCCCAGGTGACCCTCCGTGCAGGTCAGGAAGGGCCGGGGGTGGGGGGTGGGGGCCGGTGCAGGACCAGCAGGTCTGAGGGGGCAGCTGCGGGCGCAGGGGCGGCCGGGACGGCAGAGGGAGGGGCACTTCCCCCTCTGCGAGCTGTGCCCCACAGGGGTGAGGCCCTGAGCACCCCGGCTGGGCTGCTGGGTCACAGGGAGAAGGGCTGAGGCCGCCAGCCCAGTGGTCTGGGAGGAAGAGCGCCATGGACAAGCAAACTCGTCCCCACCCCCCGCGGGGGCGCGGGCTCCCCCCCCCCCCCCCCAGTGAAAATGCGAGCCAAGGGGCGGGTCTGAAATCTGGTGGCTCTGCCCAGCTCTACAGGAGACAGGCCTCCCTGTGCCCGCGTCCCCGGCTGCTACGTGACAGGGATCCCGCTGTGCCCCTCCGGGGACCAAGGCAGTGGGCACGGAGCCCAGCACGTGGCAGGAGGGGGCTGGCCGGGCACCGTGGGACATGGCAGCCGGCCGTCCACGCACAAGATTCCTCTTGAGAGAAACAGAAACCCGATTTGGGCTCGTAGATGAACAAAAAGTCCCGGAAAGGTCTATGCCCAGTTGCTGTTGGCGTTTGCCCGTGCAGGAGGGTCCTTGGCCCTGGGAGTCCCCCTCCTCTTAGGGAGAACATTCTCACATGTCCTGGACTTGCTCACAAGTGAAGTGACCCCAAAGAGAAAAGCCTGGCGGGAACAGCGTGGAATGGGACAGACGTGTGACCCGGGCTCTCCTTTCACGCCAGGGGCTGCCGCCGGGAAGGGCCTGAGTCGCCTGAGTCCCCAGGGCACTGTGGCAGAGGGCGGGACTAGACCCGGGGCTCCTGGCCCGGGGCCCACACCTCCAGGTCTGCCATCTGCGGCGAGCAGGGCCAAGCCCCTAGGAGGCCAGGTGGAGCCCAGGGACGGGAGGTCAGAGTCCCAGGTGACAGCTGCCAACCCAGGGCGGGGGTCCTGGTCCCAGCCCCGCCACCCTCCCCCTGCCTGCTGTCCCCCAGGCTGTGCTCACCCTGCCTTACTTGGCTTGGAGGAGAAGCCCGTAACACCCTGCTGGCCTGTGCCAGGGACGGGCGGGTGGGGGGGGAGGAGGGGGAGGAGGAGGAGGAGGAGGAGGGACAGACGTGGCATAGGGGCTGTCCCTTGCCCTCTGCCGGAGCTGCCCGGATAGCAGGGCCCGCCGGCCTCCACGGCTGCAGCATGTCCCCCAAGCTGGGACCAGACCCTGACCCGGGGTGACCAAAGGTTTGGATCTTTCTGGAAAAGGAAGGAGGGGGGTGGGCCTAGGGCCCGGTAGTGAGCTGGCTCCATCCAAGCACCCCGTACCCTCTAGAGACAAGATCTGCGGTCACAGAAAGGCCAGGAAGGCAGGGTTAGAGGTCAGAACCTCGGAGCACAGGGGCGGGAGGGGAGTGAGGGCTGTGCCCGCCACACCCGCAGGCCTCCTGGGACCAGGCTCCACTCAAACGCCCCAATACCTGCCCACCGCCCCCCAGAGACGCTTTCCAGAGTACGCCCCGCAGCACCCCACCCAGAGAGCTCTGCTGAGGGGCCTGGCACGCTGTCCCTTAGCAACTCCAGCACCGGCCACACGCCGGCCGTTGGGGCCTCTGGCCCCCAGAGCGCCACACGGTCCTGGGGTGGGACCTGCCAGACGCCGCCCCGGGGACAGGGGCACCAGCGACGGGTGGGGTGGGGGGAGAAACGGCCACAGGAGCCCCTCACGGTTTACGAAGTTAAGAAACTCAGGGACCTACCGAGGACCCTCTCCTCTCACAGGAAAAGCCTGGCCTGAAGTCCGCAGGGGGGCACAGCGAGGGTCCCCGCGGGCCAAGGCTAAGAACGCCGTGTTACCTAGTTGGAGCCCAGCCAAGAGCCCAGGGCCCCGAGCCACCGGCCGAGGTTTAATTAGCGTGGGGTCCGGGACACTGGTTTTACGGCTCACCTGACGGCCAGGCCCCTCCCCCTCCGCCACCAGCTCCGTGAGGCTGGCCTGAGGAGGGCCTGGCGGCCACCGAGAGCCAAACTCAGAGGGACCCCACACGAGGGACACCTGCCACGTCCTCCCACGCAGTCCTCGGGTTGGGGGCGCCTGACGGCTCACGGCCCAGCTGCCCTCCCAGCCACACGCAGCCCCAGGCGGACGGCTTCAACGAGGCGAGCACGGCGTTGTGGAGTGACGGTGCAGGGCACAGAGGGACAGCATGGGTGGGGGTATGACCTGCATGGTGTCCGGGGACCCGGGGACCCAACAGACACCACAAGAGCCCCCGCCGTGCACGGCAGGCACCTCGAAGCCAGTGGTGGGTGCACGGCGCGGGTGGCCTGGCCCCTACGACCATTCACAGGCCTTCTGACCCCAACGTGTCACAAGTGGGGCCACCTCCTGGCCCCCAGCTCTGGAGCACGTTCCCCTGCCTGGAGGGGGCTCAGCTCTTCCGTGCTTCTCCCCGGGACGCTGCCCAGACACCCACCGAGTGCCCAGTGCCACCAGCAAAGCATCCCTTCACGTCAGACTCAGGCGGCCCCACCCAGGGGCAGGACCTGCGTTTCCTCAGACGTCGTGTTTGTCGCGGGCTCTGTTCCCGTGAAGGGTCAGCAGCCGGCCACCCTGCCCAGAGGAACCCTCCAGAGAGGAGGCCGGACTCCAGGCACGGGCGGGGCCGCATTCCACAGGGAGGGACCTCCCGGGAGGCACAGGCCACAGGCTGCAGGTAAACAGCCGGGGGGGCGGGGCGCCCAGGAACAGAGTTTAGGGACCGGGCCCCACGCGGCGCCCCCACCCACCTCTGCGAGGACGGGGTTTGGCAACAACCCCCACCGGGGCCACTCGGAGCTCGGGGGCCTGGCCCGGGAAGGGGCCCCAGGGAGGGGCGAGCTGACAACACGACCTCCCCAGGCCGGCGGCTGGCACACGTGGGGGTTGGCGGGCTAGAGCCCCCCGGGTGGGTCTCCGCACGGGCCAGCCCCGTCCAGGGCCCTCAGCACGTCCTCAGGTCACCGCCCTCCCGAGTCCCCACCACCGAGACTTCTCAGGGACCAGCAGGACATCCTCCAGCCACAGGGAAAGGGGCTCCGCGCAGAGCAGGGCAGACCAGGTGGCCAGGGGCCTGCGCCGGGCGCCCACGTGGAGACCCGGCCCTGGTGGTTCCCTGTGCCCCGCGGGTTCTTTCCCGGACGGCCAACTCGCACCCCACAGGTCAGGCGGCCCCTCGGGCGCAGGCCCCGGGCAGAGAGCGGGCCGGCAGCTCAGGCCGGGGCGAGTGACACCTGTGACACCCGGAGCTCCGGCTTAGGGTGCCAAGCGGATGTGGCCCGTGGGGTGGGTGGTCCCGGGCCGGCGGGACCTGCTTCCTCCATGACCCACTGGCACTTCACCCAGAGGGCGGGGGCCGCAGCTGTGACCCTGCCCTCCACGTGACTGAGGGTCTGACGAGGTGCGTGAGGGGAGGGGGTCAGCCGTGGGGCCTCTCCTGAGGGTGAGGGGCTGCAGGAACCAGAGTCCTAACACCCAAGGGCGTCCTGCCACGGCGCCGGTTGTCCCAAGTGTGCAGAGGGGCCCCGGGTCTCGGACAAGTCCCGATGCCCTCCGGCTGGCTGACCCCAGGGTCCAGAGGCCTCTCGGGCTGAGCAGACTACAGCAGACAGGGTTTGATGCCGAGCTCCGGGCGAACGGAGACTCCGCGGGCACCGCACCCCCCACCGCCCCGGATCCCGGGCTCGTTGATGACTGACCTGCCCCTACAGGGGTGCCCGACATCACCAGGGCCACACCACACGGGGGACCACGAGCCGTGCACCTGTCCCTGGGCCACCCGGCGCCTCACACGGGCAGAACTCACCACCCAGCAGAGACTGCCAGATGGGGGGCTGCTCCCCTGGTCTCGACCACAGCGCCCCCGGAGCCGCTGAGGCCCGGTCCTCTGTGCGGATGCCAGAGGGGACCACGGAGCTCCAGGAGACAGGGCGGCAAGGGTCCACACCCGCCACAGACCCCAAATAATAAACACACTCGACCCGGCCCATCGTGTGTCAGGCTGTCATGAGCCCAGTGACGTGCGGAGGGCACGGGAGCCAGAGCGCCGCCTCCAGGGGCCCAGTCTCCTGGGGACGATGGTGGACACAAAGGAACAATGAATGAGTCAATGAGAACAAGTCTCGTGGGAGCCAGCAGGGAGGGGCTGCTGGGACTGGCCTCCAGGAAGCCCTCCCCTTGGGGGCAGGGGGGACCCGGGCCCGGAGATCCCACACAGGATGATCCAGTGCAAAGGCCCTGAGGTGACCACGCTCACAGGAGACCCAGAGGAGGGCAGCATAGCACCCCAGGAGACCGCGTCCTCCCACAGCCCCAACCAAGGCGGCCGTGTTTTCCTATCAGGTCCTCGCCGGGCCAACACTTAGCATAACCCATCTAGAGAGTGGGGGTCCTTAAGGTAGGGGTCCCAGCACAGGTTCTCAAGCTCGCCAGGTTATGAGGGGCCGGGCCCCGCGGTCGGTGCTGGATCGGAGTCTCTGGGGACTGGGACGCGCCCCACAGACCCAAGGCCCGCGCTCCAGAAAGTGCCTGGTGAACTGAAGGAGCCAGGGTGTCCTTCCTCCAACCCAGGAATGTGACTGCATCACAACCCGGAGGCCGTCCTGTCTTCTGAGGCAGCACCCAACCTCACAGCGTGACCTGGGAGCACCCTTCAAGGACAATGACCTTCTGCTCCCTGCATGCTGGGGTCCCTTATCCTCTGGCCTCCAGCCGCTCTCCTGCGAGTGCCTTCTCCCCACAAACCCCAGGACGGCATCCACTGCACGGACGGCCGCCGCAGCCAGGCCCACGGACAGCCCGGGCTTCAGAGGAGTCTCTGGGCGGCTCACCACCTTCCGGAGGCCGTGCCAGCCTTTCCAGATGTGGGGGTCCACCCTGGGCCGACCAGGTACCCGCATCTCCTCCCCAGCTCTGGGCCCAGGACCCAGGGTTGGGGCACTGACTCAGAGCCCCACCCCGTGACTCAGCCAGCCCACGGCACCCCGAGTCTCAGCCTGTCCGGCGTGGCTTGCACACACGGCCGCAGAGTCCGGTTGGCCCTGCTGGGGGGGCCCTTCCCGGCAGGAGAGAGGAATGCCTTCTGGCCACCTCCTGTTGGCAGGCAGGGGTGGGGGGGCGGGGTGGCCGGCCAGGTGAGAGGCGGGGGACGCAGGCCCTTCGGAGCCCGGCTCTCCCCGGGGCTGAGGGAACTTGGGGGGGCAGCACCGGAGGCTGAGGAAGGGGGCTGTCGTCACGTCTGTGTACTTCAGCAGGGGACCATGTCAGGTCCTGGCTCCACCCCCTCCGCTCTGTCCCCCGGTGTCCCCTTTGTGAAAGGGGGCACCGACGGGCATTTGTGCCATGACCACCTTTCTGCCCAGCCGACGCCCGCCCAGCTCAGGGCCTGTCTCCAGAAGGCACCACCCTAGTGAGCGAGTGCCGGGCCCGAGGCGACCCTGATATGTTATCTGCTCCCTGGATCAGGCAGGGAGGTCAGGGACTGTGCCTGCTGTCAGGGCGCCTGGCGATGTGACGAGACACACACGCGCCATGCGCAAAGCAGCACACCTGTGCGGTCGAGTGCCCGGTCGGGAGGGTTGGGACCGGGCCTCGGGGGCCGGGCGTGTGGTGGTTTCCGCCTCAGCCTGGCCAAGCTGCGGGGAAGGTTTGCCTTCCGAGGATTCACGTTGAAACCCGCGATCCCTAAGAGCAGCCCGTGACCCTCCGGGAGCCATCCGGAGCCAACCGGATGAAAGCCGTAAGAGCACAGAGCAGGCCCCTGGGAAAGAAGGCGTTCTCCAGGGCTGCCCTGTGGAATGCGGACTGGGGATTGCCACTTCCTCTCTTGCCCGAATTCCCAGCCGGCCGCGTGCCCCACGGCCGCGCCAGCCAGTTCCCGGAGCAAACGTGTTCCTCTCTCGCGTGTCTGCGCGCGGGCACATCGGTGCTCCTGCGGGATGCCGCATCCGTCTGCGTCCCACTGGTTCCCGTTCCTCTGACGGACCCACCTGGTACTGACGGTCAGCACCTGTCTCTGCAGTCCGGGCCCAGGTGGCCGCAGGCTTGGGAGGACAGGGTGCCGGGGCCCCAGGAGCTCTCTGGAAATTCAACAAGCTCGTGAAACGACCGAGGGAAAAATCAACACGGTCCGCTCATAACAACCGGCCCGGCCCCGCCCCCAGGAAGCCAGCCTCCGGAGCAGGGACCCAGCCCCCACTGCCCCGAACGAGCGTCCAGGCACAGGACGCGAGCAGTGGGGCTCTCCCCGGCCGGAACCCGGGCCGCAAACGCTCCCTTGAGTCGCCTGCATTGTGAGGTGTGTCCGCAGAGAAGCGCCCAAGTTCCGTGCCTCCCGCCAGCGCGGGGTCCACAGGGTGGGCGGCGCGGAGTCCGGGGCCCGTGGCTCATTTCCCTGCGATCCTCTCCCTCCGCCAGCAAAAACACGCTTGGGATTCAGGATATCCTTCCAGAAAGAGCCACTTTGGAGCTCCAGAATCCCATCGGGGTCATTTCCAAGGGGACATTCCAGCAGCCGTCTGGGGCCGGAGAGAACAAAAGCACACTGGCCGAGGGGCGGGGGCCCGAGCTCCCGAGGGGCCGGATGCCAGAGGCCCCGGGGGAAGCGACGGGCGTCCCTGGAACCCCCTGCCCCTCCCCCATCCGTACGCCAGATCCCCGCCAAGCGCCAAGCACGGTGTGTGCCAGCAGCTGGGCCGAGGCAGGGCTGGCCTCCCCGCACAAGCCCTTGGCGGAGGGAGGCCCCACTGCGGCCCGCTCACGGGGGAGGGAAGTCACAAGCCAAGGCCCCTCAGACAGTGAGTGACAGCACCAGGCGGGACCGGGCCCTCCTGGCCTAGCTGCAGACCGCCCGTCAGGGCCCGGCTCCCCCCGCCGCACGCGAGACGGCCGTGCCCTCAGCCCCGGCCCGGCTCCCCCCCACCCCCGCCTCAGTTCAACGGGCCCCCAGACCGAGGCCTGAAGTTCCGTGCGGTCGTGGGGCAGGGCCCGGGGCCGGTCAGTGTCACCGCCCCGCCAGCCTCGGACGGCGGTCAGCACCGGCTCCCGGTGACGGAGTACACTCCCCAGACGAGAGGAGAAACAATTAAGTGGCCACATTGAGAGCAGACGGCGCGGCTCCCCATGCCCTGGGGGACACAGCGGGTGGGGACGGGGCAGGCCTGGCTGAAGCTATATGTTCAGTTCCTGGAAAAAGAGGGACACGCTGCCGGCTCACCCACGGCATCCTGTTTTTATGGAAACTAATCTAATTCCGAACGGCGCAGCAAGCAGCAGCCATGCAAGGGGGTCCCGAGAGGCCGCGGCGAAGGGGCGCCCGCAAGGCGGGAGGGCTCCCGTGGCCCCGCGCGGTGGGCACGGCCGCCCTCTGCCAGCGCCACACCCGAGGGTCAGACACCCCCGCCCCGGGGGAGGCCGGGGACGGTGGGTCCTTCCTGGCAGTGAGAAAGAGGCAGGCCGGCCCCCCCCCCCCCCCCCCACCCCGTCTCGGCCGGACTCTGTCGCAGGAAGGCTGCCTGGGGCAGACAGATGTCACCGTGGGGCTCCCGCCCACGACACGCAGGTCAGAAAGTACCAGAGATCCCACAGCCTTTGGGGACCTCCTCCCGACCTGGCAGCCCGATGGCTTCGGGCCCGAGGCTTTGGAGTCCCCACAGCCTTGGCCAGAGCCTGGCTCTAGGTCTGTGCCCATGTGACTCCTGAGCCTCAGTGTCCGCACCTGCTCGAGGGGGACACCAACCCCGCCCACGAGAGGCTGCCCTGCGTGACGCCCGGTGTAAAGCGGCCGGCCCTTCACTAGCACCGTCTGCTGGGTTCACACGACGTGTGCCTGCGGACGCCCACCCAGGGCCCGGGCTCCAGCCGGACACTGACGGGAGACTCGGGCACGTGCCCGAAGCCGCGAAAACCGGAACCAGGCCTTACTTCCCGCTGCCCACCACAGCGACCCGACCGCCCTTCCAGGCCCCTCCAGCTCCTCAGGGTCAGGGCTGAACCTCTGGGCTACGCTGGCTCCAGGGGGCCTGAAGGCAGATGTCTACAGGGCACGGGCCGGCCCCGACCCCAGGCTGCCACAGAGTTCCCACTCACACACAGAAGGGACGTGCGTCCCCGTGGGCCTCCCCCAACTGCCCCTCGGAGGCCCAGCGAGCGGGTGGCCCAGGGAAGCCCGAGACGGGGCCGGGCGGGCCTGCCGGCTCCTCTCGCACTCACTGGGCACCCGGCAGGCCCGCGGAAACCTACTCTTCCCGCCTCATCCAGGGAGGGGACCACGTGGGGAGGTCCCCAAGGCCGAGGACATCCCCGCTCACAAGCAGACATGATCTCCTCTGGCCGGGCCCCTCCCCGCTCCCACCGCCAGCCAAGCGCACACATTTCCACCCTCACAGGGACCAGCCTGACACCTGTCCTCTGGGCCCTGACGCCAGCCCCACGCCGCGCGCCTCCGACCGGTCACAGGGCCCCAGAGCCGACCTCCCGCTCCCATCGCTTCCAGCTGTGGGACCGGGAGTCTGCTCATCCTCTTTCAGGCTGATTCTTTGGCTGACGCCTCGGAGGGTCCGTGCGGACGGGGGGCTTGGGGTCCACGGCGGCCACGCAGGGCACCGCCGTCTCGCTCGTCCATCACCAGCCTGGAACCGCACCCTCAGAGCGGGGAGCTGCCTCAGGGGGCCCGGCCCTCGGCCCCGGGGCTCCAGCCGAGGCTGGTGCCGGTCCCCCGCGTCCGGGGCCAGGAAGCCTCCTTCTGGGAAGGCACCAGAAAACTCCCCGGCCGCCAGCGCTCTGAGGGGACGGAGGAGGAACTGTCAGGATGGGCGCCCCGCCCCCCAGCACGGGCTCCACGCGGGGACGGAGACGCACCTGCCCGGACCGGGCCGGGACGCGTCCCGAGCTGGGAAGGACCCTCCTGCCGGTGGCCCACGAAGTCAGCCGCAAGGTGTCCCCGCTGCTGTCCTGGGGGAGCACCCACCAGGCCGTGACTCGGCCAGACCGGCAGGTTCCACTGTCCCCACCCAAGGGGACAGCAGCCCCAGCAGCCACCGCCTCGGCTTCGGGACGTCCCCGAGCTGCCCCACATTCCTCCCTGGTGAGAGCACAGGCGCCCTGCGGGGCTGCAGGGAAAAGGTCCCTTGCCAGAGCGCTCGGCCCCCGCTGCCGCACCCTGGACGGCCCGCGGGACGTGGGGGGGCGTGGGCCGCTCAGGGAGCCGCGGTTCAGAGGCCCCGCCCCACCCGTGCCGGGGCAGCGAGGGCTCGGGAGGGGCGGCCAGCTCAACGAGGTCCCGGGGCCCACGTCGCCCGGTGAGTCACCCCAAGGGCCACCGGCCGAGCCGGGCAGGTGCTGACCTTACGACTGGGGCACAGGGAGGCCCCCGGAGGGCAGGGCAGCCCCACAAGGCCTCCCTGCAACACACCAGGTAGGTCCGCTCTGCTTCTCAAGGTGAGGAGCTCGAGGCTCAGAGACGCTGTGGGACGTGTCCCAGGGCGCCCAGCAGCAGGGCCAGATTTGGGGTCTGACGGAGCCAGCACAGAGAAGCTTCGCCGGGCATTTCCCCTCCCACGGTCTCCATTCCACAGGCACCTACGTGTGGCCTCACGAACCAGTGGGGCTTTCTTAATATTTATTTTTTTTTTTTTTTAATTTTTTTTTCAACGTTTATTTTATTTTTGGGACAGAGAGAGACAGAGCATGAACGGGGGAGGGGCAGAGAGAGAGGGAGACACAGAATCGGAAACAGGCTCCAGGCTCTGAGCCATCAGCCCAGAGCCCGACGCGGGGCTCGAACTCGCAGACCGCGAGATCGTGACCTGGCTGAAGTCGGACGCTTAACCGACTGCGCCACCCAGGCGCCCCAATATGTATTTATTTTTGAGAGAGGAGACAGCATGTGCGCACACGAGTG